TACACGCACGCGAGAGCCCGTGCGCGCGTATGCCTGGTTAAATATTTCTAGCGACAGGAGCGGAGCTATGCTCGTCCCGTCCTGTCTTCAGTAATTTAGCCTCTCCTATAGATTTTTGAGAGTTGTCTCGTATGCAGGTACAGGCTCGCTTGTTCCCTGGTGTACACAGCTGCATTAGGGCCCCTCATGAATAATTTGCTCCCTGGGTGTGTGTGTGATGGTGAGTGGACGCGCAGGCGAGTCCGCGACCTTCAGCACGGACGTACCTAGCAACACTCGTACGTTCCTCACTCATGGACGTAGCTAGCAACACACACGTTCGTTCTTTTTGAACGAGCATACCTCACAACACAAACATTCCTCCAGCACGGACGCGCCTTGCAACACATATCCATTTCTCACTCATGGACGTACCTCGCAACACACGCCCATTCCTCCAGCACGGTCTTACTTCGCAACACATGTATAGCTATTCCTTCAGCATGGACGCACCTCACAACACATCCATTCCTCCAGCACGAACGCACCTCGCAACACACATCCATTTTCATCCTGAGTTTCCTTGCCATCCTTCTGGGCTCCGATCTCCAAACTTTTCCTATCCCTATCCACGGGAGAAGTGGATAGACGAGGGCCACCAAGCGCCTCGTCTGGCTCCCGCGGAGCCAGGAGACTCTTCATCCTCATCTTTCTAACGTGATCCTTATTGGAGTTTCACTTGGCTACCTTCGCCTTTCCTCCTTGTCCGTCTGTCGGATCGCGTCGCTCAGAGAATCTCTGCACGCCACGTCACATTTATGCACGCAATTTTTACTCGGGCGCTTGATAACCATTGCGCATTTAACGCTTCCCGCTGAACATTACAATCGCTACAACAATGGGAGTAATAATGTGACATTATATCGAGTACATAACACTGATCATTACAGCAGACATAGTGAGGTTTTCAATATGACATTTGTAACACCTGGGGTATATAACTAGCCACACACAGTGCATAACTAGTTATTGGCCCAATTTGACCGAAACGTCGTGAGTTCCTTTCTCCTATGTACGCCTTGTGTAAGACTTGTATATTTAAGCCAGAAGACGTCTTCTTTAACTATATTGTTACCCTCTAGCCTCCTCTTTAAGGGCATGAGTTACTTTAACTAGCAAGTCCCACTAGCCTGTTACAACGTGGTGCTTGACAAGTTTTATACACGTTCCTGCAGGCTGAGTTTAGGCTGGCGCTGGGTATTCTACAATGAGCTTAATGGACGTATGTGTATGTACGCGCTTGCTTGCTTGTTCGTGTGTGTGTGTGTGTGTGTGTGTGTGTGTGTGTGTGTGTGTGTGTGTGTGTGTGTGTGTGGTGTGTGTGTGTGTATGTGTGTGTGCGTGTGTGGTGTGTTGTGTGCTGTGTGTGTGTGTGTGTGTGTGTGTGTGTGTGTGTGTGTGTGTGTGTGTGTGTGTGTGTGTGTGTGTGTGTGTGTGTGTGTTTTGTGTGCGCGTGTCGGCAAGTTTATTGCTGCAGTCAGATATTTTTAAGCAAGCCAATTTTTGACAATTCAGGGCTCGGGGTTCAATTTAAAACAAAATATTGAATGAGGACGAAAAAAATCAGCAACAAAAACCAGGCAGGGAAGATTGAACGGAATAATTCAATACCCTTATAAATATTTAACCAACTACTATGGGACAAACTTCAGCTATCATCGTCCAACAAATCCAAATTTCAACTAATATAATTTGTTAATCTGAATCTCAAGAAAACTAATTTAATAAAAGGTTGTGATTCAAGTAGAAAATCGTCTATGACGTTATTAACAGACTAATTGCAAAAGCGACAGCAACGGGTGGTCCCCCAACGGAGGCATTACCAGTCCCAAAGATCCAGAGTACTGGAGTGGGAGCAGCAGCAGGATGAGCAGGAGTAACAGCAGAAGCAGGTAACGGCTTAAGCAGTAAAGGGGTAAGAAGATGGAGATGTATTAGAGGCTGCTACAGAAGATAAAGCAGCACTAGTACCAACAGCACCAATTCCCCAGATAGGAGGAATATGGAGAGCAGCAGCAATAACAGCAACAATAGGATAAGCTAGAACCAAACCAGCAGCAATAGCTCCAGCACCACAACCACCAAAAACAAGCGCCGCCGCCGCCGCCGCCGCAGCAGCAGCAGCAGCAGCAGCAACAATAAAAGCAACACCACTACTGACAACAGTTTAATAGGGCCACGACCAACATGCAGCAGCAGCTTCCCTGACGAGACTGTAATTGGGCCAGAACCAACTTTCAACAAGGAGAGAAGGGAAAAGCGACTGTCGTCAATATCACCCTCCACGAAGACAAGTCCCTCCCATCTCTGCCACATGCCAATATGATCCACTGTTACATGAAGTGTTGGTAGTCAGTAAACCTCAAGATTCCCAGGACGGACGGAGTAGTGGGGAAAAAAAGAAAATATTTTAAGAATCGTTATGTAAGATACTCGAGTGTTGTACAGTTATCTTACTATATTTTGATACTAACCTATTCAGATAGACCTTTGATTTGTTTATAGCTTGTATAAATCAGATGAAGCCGAATACAACACTGCAAGATATGTCAAGAATCTACACAGGCAAGCCTGTAGACGAAGGAATTATTTCCAAAGCTGGACCGTGTCCCGATGAGCAGCAGATACACACAAAACTTAAAGGTGGCGTCAGAGAGAGTTCAAAAATCTTATTAGCCTGGTCAAAGAAATAGGGATACTCAGCAGAATATGCATTGCTAATTCTACATCAGCATGAAGGGACTGTCTCAAACAGTTGTGAAGATATTATTAATCTACTGTTGGCTCATTTAGCAGGCGAGATCCAAGTCTCAAATCCCCAAACCAAAACTTTCATGACTAACAGTAAGGACCACGTCTTAAGTACGCGAGGCTACGGTGAGACATGAAATTTGATTTCTCCTTAAATCACCGGACTCTCAAAATGCAGCTGGGATGACAAATTCATATCAAGTTTTAGTATATGTTGCACTCACCAGATGGCATCGTGTTTCCCTGCTAAATAGCACAAAGGTAAATTGTTCCCTTCATGGAATATTATGCGCTCCAAGATCACTTAAGTAGAGCCAAAGTAAAGACAAAATCAACAAACCAGTGTCAATGCTGTCGAGGGCTAAATTTTAGAGTTTCATAACAAGTGACGGGCATAAGCTGTTGTGCGACTGACAAGATGGTTTGAAAAAAGGAACTTTTGCAGTTGGTTTGTTTAACCAGCCCACGTATGTCACCAGTAGAGCGCAAGTTCATTATTCTTACTCTGGGCACCTCTGGTGTCTTATTTGGCACTACACCACTGCTTCCCGAAACATAATCTATAGGCATCTGGAATCTCTGGTTCTATACTACGCCTTCGTGATCACTTTTAAACACTCTTGAGAAAATAAAAATGGAGCAGACGGGGACTCACTCGAATAAAACGCACCGCAGGGGTCTGTGTTGGGTCCCTTGTTACAGAATTCTGCTTGAATCACATATTCGACCTCAAACATGTATCTTAGTCCTACACAGATGGCTGCATCATAATTTTCACATAAGCAGAAATGACTCCTGTCATGAGGTACATATCAATCACCAATCAACTCTTGTCAGGAGCAAGAGTTGAAACCTCACTTGCAACTGAGAGAACATATATAATCCCTGTTAAATCTGAATTATAGACATCTAAAATCTCCGTTTATGGTGACATATCCATTACCATTCCCTACGACCACCATCGACTTGATAAGCTCCTATCTCCATCACAGCAAGAGTACTCGGGTTCGGTGCCTTCTTGGGCTTGATAAATGGGCAACTCACCTTCCTTGCTCCTAGTACCCTTGTTCACCTAGCAACATACAGGTACATGAGAGTTAGTGGGCTATTGTTGGTCGCATCCTGGGCTCATGTAAGTTATCCTGGTTAATAACCCTCCTGGGTTAGTAATCCAAAGATTGTTTCTCTTTTTTGTCACCAGTTACTGCTTTCGTTTCTGTATTAACTCTGTTGTCTTACTCTCCTTCCGCACCTTCCCTTCGCCCCCGCTCTCTCACTCGCCCACCGCCCTTTTGTGTTTATCCCTCTCTTCCCTTTTCTCCCAAAACTTCCCACTCTCACCTCAATCTTTCTAATTAGGTCTCCACGGGGTAACTTCAGGAACCTATTATTGTCAGTTTTGCATTTCATTCCTGGGAGACCTGACTGTGTCCTCGGCTACGCATGTGGCCGACGGATAAACTAATTAAAAGTAATAACATACTGAATTTCCTGTGTAAGTTAGATACATAACAGAGATGAATAAGGAGATGCGCACTCATATACTGAACGTTATGGAACAAAGGGTAAGTATATGTACTCACCCTCACAAATTAGAGACGTAAATATGTCCTGACCATCACGAAACACAAATTATAGCATATATAATCACGAAAGACCTTAAAGGATCGTTCAACTCTATTTTTTTCACTGTGGTTATCCTGGTACTTGGCATCCCAACAGATTACACTAGTACATGGAACCCCAATTATGTACACTGGTACCAGGAACCACAAATAAGATTCGGAAGACGTTACCGTGGACAACTCAACAATCTACATAATGAGCCTTGAATCCAACAATGTATACACAAGCTCCGTACCCACACACACACACACACACACATCCACACACCATCCACACACACATCCACACACACATCCACACACACATCTACACACACATCCACATATACATCCACACACATCCACACATACATCCACATACATCCACACACACACACACACACACACACACACACACACACACACACACACACACACACACATCCACACACACATCTACACACACATCCACAAACATCCACACACATCCACACATACATCCACACACACACACACACACACCACACACACACACACACACACACACACACACACACACACACACACACACACACACACACACACACACACACAGTGGTACTCTACCTGAGCTCTGACAGCGGAGAGGTGGACCTGAGCCACCCGCAGGTCGAAGCGTTTCATGCTGATGTCTTCCTGAAGTTCATTGGCCTTGTTGTACACTGACGACTCGATACTCCTGCGGGGACAACACTCTCTGGTCAGTCATTCTGGGTTACTTACTGGTGTGACGCTTCGAAAACAACACCAGAGAGAGAGAGTAGTGAAGGAGTGAAGTAGGAAAGGGAGGGAGGTAGACACATAATGAGGGAGAGAGGTAGTAAGGAAGAGGGATAGTAAGGGAGAAAGTAAGGGAAGGAATGAGGAAGGGAGGGACCGAGTTAGGCAGGCATGATTGTACTATAACTCTGACAAGAAAATCATTTGGATCTGGTACATCACTCAGAATTAACGCATTGCTTAAGAACATCAATAATAAAAATTATAAAAATAAAATTTAACAAATATGGCACATCAATACATACTATAACACAGATAAAATAATCAACTACAATTAAAAATCACGTTATTTTTTAATGTAAAATGATTCTTTTTACACATTTCTCAATATTTTTACAAGCAAACTGAGGTTGCAAAAATTATAAGTAAATTTATTTAGGTACATATACACACACAAAAAAAAAAACAGTTACACAAATTGTCATATATTGTATCCTAATTTTTAATTAATTACCGAAGATAACCCTCCAGAAAGTCAAAGTGACTTATTTCCATTATAGAAGTCTTTAGATGTGAGCAAGCAGGTAAAATTTATCTCAGAGTCCCAAGCTACTCTGAGGGAAGAGGAAGGAAGGTGGTGGTGAGGGGACAAGAGCATCTGCAAACACATTATTATAGGTGAAATGTATGCGCCCTGATCCTCACTCGAAAGAATCGTCTCGGGTTGAACAGAAACATTATGGGCCAGAGCAAACAATGCACTGGGGATCAGAGTAGATAGTGTGTGGTGATCCACTTAAGCCAGCGATCAAAAGAAGAGAAGAGAGGATTATGCGGAGCTTCTCGGTGAATAAAGAGGAATCTTTTTGCAACCGTGTCCAGTACAAGTCTTCAGTGATGATCACCGCAAAGCCAATGTCACCCCTCGCTCTTGGATCCATGATTAAGACCTTTATCCTTGAAGTATGAACAAAATGATATTCCAAGAAGTTAACCAAGGTCATCCACTACCTAGAAAGTCGTACCTGAAGCCACAACCCAGGAGAGTAACCGTCATTAGAATTTATAATTTCACAAGAAACCTAACACAGTAAGCAAATGGTTCCGTGTCTCTCTCCAACATTATCTCTATCCCAGCATAAACTGGGATGCCAGGTATACAGGTATACCTCAAACGTGAATCAAGTAAAACAGGCCTAAGTTACATACACAAGAGATCCAGGGAAAGGTCACCCAACTCAACATAAAGGCTCTTAACCAGTTCATTCCATACCAGCCGAACTCAGGGATCACTCGTCAGCCAGAACTTCAATGAAGAAATGTTGCTTCTTGTCTCCAAGTACCAGACGAGTCGAACATTCAACATCCTCTCCAACAACGCGCAGGTGCAACTCGTTTGAGAATATTTTCGTTATCTTATAGTGAGTGGTATATGTATTTACTGTAGGAAGTCTGAATAAAGGAAGAACAGAAATAACGGTAAAACCATACCACGGGCGGGATTTGAACCCGCGGTCAGAGAGTCTCAAAACTCCAGATCGTTGCGTTAGCCACTGGACCAGCTAGCCACAATAAGATTCGTCCATCTAGGGGTTCAAATCCCGCCCGTGGTATGGTTTGTCTGCAATCGTGTCATTACGATTTCGTGAGTCATGTTGACGGCAGTGAAGGGACTTGAGCTAGAGTTCGTCACGGCCACGCTAGCTGGAGATTCGTCTGTAAAAACTTGCATTTGTGGTCACAGTGGTGCCTATGCTAACCTTCCTATGGTGTAGAAATATACTTAGTTGGACGAATCTTATAGTGGCTAGCTGGTCCAGTGGCTAACGCGACGGTCTGGAGTTTTGAGATTCTCTGACCGCGGGTTCAAATCCCGCCCGTGGTATGGTTTGTTTGCAATCGTGTCATTACGATTTCGTGAGTCATAACGGTAAACCGCTGCACTAGCGAAGCGCCGTAAAGCAAAATGTGGTAAAGCGGGACCTGCCTGTATCCAATAAAAACGCTAGGGAGAGAGGAAGGAAGTGCCAGAACATGTAATAGACTCCCATCGTCTCCCAGGAGCTCTGGAGGGCGACAAGACAGCTTACAATTCCTCCATCCCAAACATCAGACCCCCAAATTTCCCCAGTGTCCTCTGCAATGAGCGACGAGGCAGTCTCCCGAAGCCCCGCTCGAGGAACTCATGTATAGATTTAGTTTACGGCTGTTTAGGTGCTAATTTACCCTTTTCATTGAAAATGCAGTGTGTTTCAAAAATGGACCCAATTTTAAAGATAGATAAATCTCAAATCGGGTCCAACATTTTGAAACAGCATGTATATGAATGTTCGTCCACTTGTGATCATTTTTGGATGCCTCTTCTGTCTTCAAAGGCTGAAAAAATAACTGCATAAAAAACCTATTCTGTACTCCGTAGGGAATTAATGATATTTCATTCGAGGAAGAGAACACAGCTCCAATTCCTTTTATCACGAGCCCAGCGTAAATAAACCCCGCCCTCATTTTCTTAGTTGCGGACACCAGACCGCCCATGTACATTCCATTTGTTTACACTGAGGTACAGGGGGAAGGGGAACTGGTCTTTTTTTTTAACCAGATAAGGAACATAAGCCATATCCTTTACTGTGCCTTTTATCGTACACGGAGGTAAACCTGACTGGGCTTGTAAGATGCGGGGATAGTGTTATTGCCTCTCACAGAGGCCCAGACACGTATAGTTAACAGTAAACCTACTTAGAAGATTTTATTTTACTGTCTCTAAGTTAAATGACCTCATTGCCACTAGTCTTCAAACAATTTAACAATTCCCAGTCAATATTTCGAATAATTTTAAGTTGATTTCGTGATCGTGCACGCTAGACACACACACACACACACACACACACGAAGTTGCAGGAAAACTGTGATGAGTGAGCACCAGAGATGTTGTCATAGCAACGCGGAATCACCACCTGTGCTGAATTAAGTAAGAAAAATGGATATTCAGGTGTGGGGAGCATAATGGGCGGCTACACCAGGCTGACTCCTGCGTGGGGCGGGGAAAGATAAGAGAGGGAAGGGGAGAGAAGAGAGGGGAGAGAACTGGAGAGGGGGAGAGAACTGGAGTGAGAGAGAGAGAGAGAGAGAGAGAGAGGGGGGTGCGAAAAATGTGAATAACGGAGGAGGGAGAGTAGATAGAGAGACGGAAAAAAAAGACAGACGTATGAATCGAAAGAGAAAAGGGTGAAAGAGAAAAAAAAATGGGATGGAGAGAGAGTGTGAGAGAGAGAGAGAGAGAGAGAGAGAGAGAGAGAGAGAGAGAGAGAGAGAGAGAGAGAGAGAGAGAGAGAGAGAGAGAGAGAGAGAGAGAGAGACCCGAAGTGTGCTGCTGCTTTATTCTAGACGGGTGTTATGTAATGAGAAGGAAAGCTATCTTTTCTTTTCACATTCCATCACATTGGATGACTTGCACACAAGAGTAATACACAAAAACAAACACGCGAAATTCAGAGAAAAATACACACACACACACACACACACACACACACACACACAGTAGAGACAGGAAGGACTCTGGGGGGACAGACCAGATGGGGACACCAACAAGGAATACACCAACAAGTGTTGGACGACATACATACAGATGAGGAGGAGGTGAAGAAACTGCTAAGGGACATCGATACCTCAAAGGCAATGGGACCGGACAACATCTCTCCATGGGTCCTTAGAGAGGGAGCAGATATGTTGTGCGTACCACTTACCACAATCTTCAACACATCCCTGGAAACTGGGCAACTACCTGAGGTATGGAAGACGGCAAATGTAGTTCCCATTTTCAAAAAAGGAGACAGAAAAGAGGCACTAAACTATAGACCTGTGTCATTGACGTGTATAGTATGCAAAATTATGGAGAAGATTATTAGGAGGAGAGTGGTGGAGCACCTGGAACGGAACAGGAGTATAAATGCCAACCAGCACGGATTCACGGAAGGCAAATCCTGTGTCACAAACCTTCTGGAGTTTTATGATAAAATAACAGAAGTAAGACAAGAGAGAGAGGGTGGGTTGATTGCATCTTCTTGGACTGCAAGAAGGCTTTTGACACAGTTCCTCACAAGAGATTAATGCAGAAGCTAGAGCATCAGGCGCATATAACAGGAAGGGCACTGCAATGGATCAGAGAATACCTGACAGGGAGGCAACAACGAGTCATGGTACGTAATGATGTATCACAGTGGGCACCTGTGACGAGCGGGGTCCCACAGGGGTCGGTCCTAGGACCAGTGCTATTTTTGGTATATGTGAACGACATGACGGAAGGGTTAGACTCAGAAGTGTCCCTGTTTGCAGATGATGTGAAGTTAATGAGGAGAATTAAATCTGATGAGGACCAGGCAGGACTTCAAAGAGACCTGGACAGACTGGACACCTGGTCCAGCAAATGGCTTCTCGAATTTAATCCTGCCAAATGCAAAGTCATGAAGATAGGGGAAGGGCACAGAAGACCACAGACAGAGTATAGGCTAGGTGGCCAAAGACTGCAAACCTCACTCAAGGAGAAAGATCTTGGGGTGAGTATAACACCGAGCATGTCTCCGGAAGCACACATCAATCAGATAACTGCTGCAGCATATGGGCGCCTGGCAAACCTGAGAACAGCATTCCGACACCTTAGTAAGGAATCATTCAAGACACTGTACACCGTGTATGTCAGGCCCATACTGGAGTATGCAGCACCTGTTTGGAACCCGCACTTGATAAAGCACGTCAAGAAACTAGAGAAAGTACAAAGGTTTGCAACAAGGTTAGTTCCAGAGCTAAGGGGAATGTCCTATGAAGAAAGATTAAGGGAAATCGGCCTGACGACACTGGAGGACAGGAGGGTCAGGGGAGACATGATAACGACATATAAAATACTGCGTGGAATAGACAAGGTGGACAAGGACAGGATGTTCCAGGGAGGGGACACAGAAACAA